ATTCTTAACTTCACTATAAACTCTTAAACTTCAGTATAACATAAGTCAAATATATTATTTTACTGTGATCTTTTCAGCAATTGACTTTTTAAATATTACACTGAAAGGTAGAGAGGTGATAAGAGTAATTTATTTTTATATATTCTAATTATTAATTGAAATGACATGGTTGCCACTCACCAAATAACTCAAGGAAATTACAAGAAAGGCTTTAAAAAGGTGGAGTCCTTGGTCTCTCTAAACTCGATTGTTTCCTTGCAGACATTTGAACACCCAACTAAGCAATATCATCAGTACTAATAAGTATGGGATTTTCTCCGTTTATATACAGTATTAGTAGGGCTATAGTCTTCTCCTTGGCAGTTCCTTGATTAGGGTATTGTTTTCTGCTTGATTGTCTGTCTGGTGTTAATCCCTGCTTATTTGTCTGCTTATCTATTAACCTGCTTATTTAAAATAAGTCCCTTTAGATCAGTGATTGCCAACTGGTGGGCTGCGAGAAAATTTTGGTGGGCTGCAGAGAAATGTCACCCCCAAAGCATCCCCCCCAAAGCAATTAATCCAGGCTGCGCAGAAACACAAGGCTGTGCCGCCCATATGGCCCGTAGGAACCCTCCTCGCCCACTCATTCCTTACCCGGCAAACTTGCCTGCTAAATTGCTATTTTTCCTTTTTCTGACCATCATCTGTTCTGCTGTGCCGGGAGATTTAGATTAGCTAGGAAGCGGGAAATGGTTGGGTTTCTTGCTTTCTAGCTAGTCTTTAGATCTTCGGCTCTGCTTTTAAGCACAGCTGAACCTCCCTTAGGACTGAAGGTTCTATTATTCAGTGCAGACTCACGGCAAGCAAATTTTATGTGACAGACTGAGCTAGCCGATGGCAGATAGACAGATCACTGAATGATTCTGTGAGCAACTCAATCTGCCTGCCTGCTTTGCCTGATTTTGGGTAACAGTTGCTCTCTTTTTTTATAAAAAATTCAATGTTTACATACATGATGTGTTGTGAGTTAATTTTGTGAGTTTGCTTGCAAGAAAATTTTATGTGACAGACTGAGCTAGCCAATGGCAGATAGATAGATCTCTGAATGAATCTGTGATTCTGTGAGCAACTCAATCTGCCTGCCTGGCCTGATTTTGGGTAAAAGTTGCTCTTTTTTATTAAAAAAAATCAATATTTATATAAATATTTATATTTACACACAAGCCATGCCCAGCCAGTCACATGACCATCAAGCCACACCTACAAATTAGGCCACACCCACAGAACCAGTTAGTGGTCCCTGGGATTTAAAATTATGAGTTTGGTGGTCCCTGAGGTTCTGCTTTAGATGACACTGTTAAATTGATAGACCTGGAACACTCCAACCCTGCCAGATCTTGTAGGATGGGCAGAGATAATTGGAGACGGATGGTCCTGTAAATACACCCAAGTCCTCTGCCATGTAGGATTGGGAATAAGGTGAGGCAGATCCAAGTCCATAGTTAACTAGGGAAAGTCAGTGACGAGTTTGAGCCATTCAGCCTGATTTATTTTGCAAGCTGTTTTAGTGGAATTAAGATTGTAATCTAAAAATGACAATTACTATGACCACTAACAAAATGAGAAGATTGTTAAAATTAAGAAGGGTTTGAACATGGAATATTTAGCAGTATTTCCGCCTATAAAACAACCTGCCTGTGCAACTTGCATTTTACATGACATGTCCCCACTTTAGATCCTGGATTAAGTTGTCCAACCTTGCTCTTAGCTTCAAGTCTTTCATTTTCCTGGAGAAAATAAACAAGCATTAGTCTCCCAGTAGTTCCTAAAAGATCTGCAAACTATCGTTTTCTCTCATTTTCCCATATTTAAGCATACCTTAAAGCTTAATAAAAGCAGGGTTGCTCACAAATACTGTGTCTGACTTTAACACACTTCTGAGACATGTAATAAGGCTTCTCTGTAACTTTTTGATAAAGAGATAATGCAATACAGCCTTGAAATCCCATATCTCCTCAATAGTTTGTTTACTAAGACTTAAGAATAGTTTTTTTAAAATGGAATGGTAGAAGAGTGAACCAAAGGTTCCAATATATTATGAGCATATATGACCTTTTAAAATATAAAATTCACTTTACATTGAAAAAAGAATCATGAATTCCTTTTAGTTCTACCAAACTATGATGATCTAGATAAATAATTTAATTATTCCCTTTAGTTTCACAGAGAGTTTATAGTATAGTCAAAAGTGCTGAACCACTCAGACAAGATTATAAAGTATTTTTTTCTGATACTATAGCTTCCATATGCAAACATTATCAAAATATTAAGTTTCCCAATATGACTTTGAGTTTTTATAGAATACACACATCTTTCCTAGATGTAATTGAACAACCAGTAAATCTCCAAAATTCTTCTGGAGTCCTGTAACAGTGCACTTCGTTTTACATTATTAGAATCAGTAATCCATACCCATTAGCATATACAAGAATATAAAAAGTTACACTTATCATAACCAGGGTCACATTATTTGATGACTTCTTGATTGCTGCCACAGAAAATTTGACCACAATTACAGATGCTATCATTAGAATCAGAACATAGAAATTGTGTGTGCCAAAGATCTCTCTGGGATCTGGGATGCTGTTGCAAGAAAGATAAGCATGATAAAGTTTGAAAGTTCAATTGCTCTAAAAGGTAGGTGCTTCCCAGCCTATCTTTAGGCCTACATAAAACTACACGAACTGTTTTTTTTTCCCTTACAGCTCATGCATTTTTCATTCAGAATCCAGTCAGATATACTGTTTTGCAAGTTTATCTAGGATCAGATTGTTTTGTGCTGTTGTGGTTTTTGTAGTTATTCCCCTCCATTAGACAGGTTGAAACCACGTTTATAAGCGATTGGCACAACTGGAATATAGCCAGGATGGATCTGACATAGGTTATGCTATAAGCATATTTTGTAAGAATGGGAACATTCTTCCCTTTCTGAATGTATTTTCAGGAGCCAGCAAACAGGTGCAGAAAGATTTTCTGAGATCTAGGAAATGAAAGGCTCAATGAAGGTTTACTTGTGGTTTTATTCATTTATGTATATAGTGTCTATCAGAGCAAGCAAGAACTTTTCATTCTTAAAAATAACACTGTTCAGAATTATATCCTGCTTTGAAATGTGGTAAGAATCAGAGTGGACACTGCTCCCATACACTATCATGGCAGGAAAGATTAGTTCATACATCTTTATGTGGATATGATAACATTTTAATCATTTCTTAATTTTACAAAAAATATTTTGAGCATGTGCGATATGGAGAATAGGTAAAGAAATGGCCACTGTCATTTACAAAGTTAAAAAAACAACAACCAATTGACATGACTTATCTTGTCCACAAGGAACCTCCATTCAGGCCTCCCCCCCCCCCCCCCTTAGCTATCTCTAAATATATTTCATTCATTTTAAAACTCTAAAAGCTCAAAATCTTCACCTCGGTATTGGAAAAAAGATGCAGAAATTTAATAGG